ATTTGGCACAATTGGGTACAAGTTTAAAACCGCAAAGATGATGGGAGACACGTTTATAATGTTGTAATTTCAGGGTTGAGATATCCTGTCAACTGAATGTTTGCACAACCTTTGACTCTAAATGCATTACATACGGGCGCAAGTCGCTTTCTCCTAAAGATTGTAAAAAAGTCATTGCCTTCAAGTGTAGGAGCAAGTGATGTGAGGTGCATATCGCAGACTGAACTAAAGCACAGGCTGAACTTGGTTTGTCAGTGTGTAATTTCAGTTGTGCAGCTAAAAGGAACATTTTGGTTAATCTTAAGCTTTTAACTTGATTTCAAATTTGACAGCTGCCTTTTTTCATGTGTTTACTCAATTTGTGTATGTGCATTAGAGCCATCTAAATGTACTATGTATAAATTAATATATTATATTTATATCGACTGTAAAGCAGTGGCCCTGAGCTTTTCTTCCATGTATGTTATTTAAATACATTCATGTGTTTTGTTTTCATCATTTAAACAGATGTGGAGCATTAATGGCTGCCCAACGGTGCTATAGCCTATTAAGTAAGATGCTACAGATCATGATTCACCAAAACAGGGACCAATTTGCATCTGGGGCTACTATTTAGGGCAGAAACACTGCAGTGACATTTTCTCCTCATGACTCTTATACAGTAGCTAATATTTTTACATTCTTGCTGTATTTATTTGTCACCTTTTGTAATAAAATCATTCAATCTAAAAAGAGTTTGCCTTGTTTGAATTCTGATAGAGATGCTCCATGGGCTCGTTTATGTGCAGTAACTTGTACAGAGTTGTTTTGATATCCAGTCATACTGTCATAAATAAGTGATGTTCAGCTTTCCTCTGTTCTTCACTCTTATATTGGGATAATAACTCATGACTAAAGCTTGTCACTCAAAGTTGATGCTGGGAAATAGGAAAAAAAATACCCTTTCAGTTAACACAGCACATGTATACAGTTGTAAATTTCTTTATGGAAGCAAATTATTTGCAAAAAGAAAATTTAACCATACTTGACACTGCTATCAGCTGTATTCTGACATGCTAGGCAAACCACACCATTGTGCCACACTTCCTCATTTCTAAAGGAAAGTACCTAGGAGAACATTAAGGGAAAGTAAAACTACTGACATAGTTCTCTCCAAAAAATAATATAGGACAGTATTTTTTGTTTTGTAATTTATTAGTTTTAAAATGATATATCACGTAAAAAAAATGTATACAGTAATACCCTTATTTAATTCCCCTGAATAAAATATTTTATTTGTTCAGCACATGCCAAGTTTTAGTATCTATAAGATACAGAAGATTGTAATTTGCTCAACAGTTGGTGACAAAGATAGCAATAGTACCTCTGTAACAATAAAAACTTTAGAAATATTTGGAACACTTTGAAACACAATAAAATAACATACATTGCTCTGTAAAAGTTGCATTGCCATCTGCCCAAAATGTGTTTTTAAAATTCCTATATATTTTAATATTTGACAAGTCAAAAATACACTTCTAAAAACAGTGGTGGTGATCTGTCAGCAGGCTGACTTAAAGCAGCTGTAGCAGATCAACAATGCACTTTGATATTTTTTAAACAAGGCAACCTTTCAAAATATGTAATAAATAATAAAGCCTTTACAATAATATTGTACCTGTCCATATACATATTTATATCCAGTTCATAAACACTCAGAAACGTATAAAACATGTTAAAAATAGTTTCCCATTCGTGTATTAAAAATAAAGATTAAAATGACACAGCATCTTGGGGGGACAAAAGATGTTACAGCCTGCATGCACAGATTTCCACAGACACACATAATTATTTCATAAGTTCCTTGGCTTCAACATCAAGTGATAAAAACAATGTAGGCAAGTGATTGTGAGGTCCTTCAGCTAAAGCATGAGCCTCAGGGACTGGCGGGACTCTTTAACTCCATCCCCTGGATTGGAAGGGTCGTCCTGGGGGAATGACACCTTGTCTGGGGTGTACTCATTTCTCTTCAGGTCTGACAAAAGCACAGTGCTGTCAGTGTTGTCCTAACTACCATATCAGGATTACAACTGTTCTTAAACTCACCAGGAAGTTTGAGTTTTCGGCAGCAGGAATTGCAGTGGTGTTTTGCACGAAAATTCCTGATGGCGTCATCTCCCAGGTTGGCAGGACCGAAAATCATATCATATGACCTGCAGAAGTCAAATACAATAAAACTAGAGCCTTGGGCCATGATGACTATTAAATCAATCAATTAATAATTATTAATTGTAATCTTATTTTTTAAAACAAACAAATTGTGTAACTGTAGGCCTCAGCACTCACCCCTTCTCACCACTTTTGATAACAGATGGATCAGTCAAAATCTCTCCAACCCCTACAACAGCCGGAAGCAACACATACGGACCCGTTACAAAAGCATCTCGTTTCATCTTTCTATTTCTAACCCAATACTCACCCTGCAGGTCGAGCACCAGCAGTTCTCCGCGGGTGTACTCGTATGTCCAGTGGCTGAAGGCCAGCATCGTCTCCTCCAGTAAGTTGGTGGGAACAATCTCCTCTCCATTGTTGTTATTAAATTTTCTGAACTCCCCAGTGATGCATTCCTCTATGGCAAACCACTGTCCAGCAGAGTGACAATAGAGCAGAAACACCTCCAGAAACCTGTGCACACAAAAACAGGCAAGCTTTACAAGCCAACACTAGGCTGAGAATGACAACTATAGTCGTTTCCAGAATAAGTACCTTGGTGAATAAGGAATTGTTTTAGGTCTGATTTGATTGAAGGCAAACGTGAGCTTCTGAGCAGCTCGTTGCTGCTGAATTTCCTGAAGACAGACAAAATAAAACCCAGTGTCACTTCAATAAGAACGTTTCAGTAATTTACATTAATGCAGGAACTGGTGGTCTAGTAAGCTTAATCAGTGCACAATAATCCACTATAGCCAGTCTGTTGTATAGTGATTCACCCTGAGACAAAGATGCAGCACAGTCTCCTCCTTGTAGATACTCTGCCAGGTCTGGATCACTTCTGGAAGGAAGGACTTGACTATGTACAGGTGGCCCGGTTTGATGATGTCATATTCGGACCAAGTGCAGAGGACCTTGAGAGCACGCCGCAGACCCCCACCCATCTCTTCTTTACTAAGGAACTCAATTTTGGCACTAAGCCCGCGCTGGGCCCAGGAAGACATGCTGTTGTTGATTGTGTTGGGAGAGCTTTCCTCCAGGCGGTACACAGTGACAGGTTCACCTAGAGACACGAAAGCATGAAAAGGAATCAAATGTCAAATATTTATATTCATGTTAATTTATGCATAAACCAGGGACATTTTTGCTAGGTAAAAACAGGTTCTGACTAGATATTCAAAACTAATTAATGACAACACTAGAGTATCCAAAAAGGAAAAATTTAACAATTACATTTTTAGATATTGTTGATCTGCCTATATCATTAACAAAGGTTGTAATTTCCATTACTGTTGTTAAATGATCTTGTTTAGTGATCACACACTCATGAGATTTTGTCCACTCAATTTTCCTTGAAAAAATATTGTAATCCAAAATAGCATACAATGTCAAACAGCTTATACAAAACAATAAATATGTGGTATTTGATGTTTGAAGAATTAGTCCAAAAGAAATCCAAATGAAGTTTTTTTTTTCCTTCTGTGTTATTACCATTATGTACTAGTATGTAACATAATGAAAAGTACCAGGTCTTACCTTTAGGGGGCACCGGGGTGAATGGAATACTTTGGGACAGTCTCATTAAGTTATTTCGCTCCACAGCTGCATCAACAAGTCACCACAATATTGATAATGGACAGAGAAAAATGATGATGGCAATTTTTATAAGTTTCAAATATGACTCACCTGAGTATTGATAATTTTCCACGGGTTTAAACGGCGAGCCAATAGCTGTAAAACACATTAGTTAATATTAGGTTCACATTAAAATAAGTTGTTAAGATACAAATCTATTAAAATGTCTAAACAAACTCAGATAAAAAAGAAAATCTAGTGTAGTTCCAGCAAAGTCCAGCAGGTGCCTCTTTAACACCATTCCTGTTTGACCACAACCACGCAGCTCAGGTTCAGGCACAACTCTTCCAAAAGTGAAAATTCTTGAATCAGGGTGCAGTGATCACAAGCTAAGTGGCTCTTAGTCATTTGATCAGTGCTGAAGGTGATTTATCTTGAATTGATTAAATTTGTGGTCCAATTATCCTGCCTAAAATATTGATGCTGTTTGATCGGTCAGTGAGGGTTACTCACAGTCCTTTCTGGCTCCAAGATGAGTGTGCCGAGGCGTGTACAGAGAAACTGCGGCTGGAACCACAGAAATAAAACAGCACTGTGAACCAAAACAAAACCTCGCCATAGCAACGGTGAAATAACCCATGCCAAGATGAGAGGGAGGGGGTAACGGACAGCAAACTTAATGTAAGGAATGTGTCAATAGGGCTTATTTTCATTATTTTTAAAACAATCCATGCAATTTTAATCGAGGTAAAGTATGTAATGGAGCAAGAGAGCCCTGGAGGCTAAGATCGGAAAATAAATCATAAATAAGTATCTTACCATTCAAAGTATCCTCCCCAGGGGCTCGGCTGAGAAGAAAACAAAGTAAAATAGAATTAGTAATAATAACATCATAGACCAGGATAGTACTTAAACGACAATTCAGTAATGACAATGAAAAACTATTAACAGTGTTCTGATGTACATGGTTTTAAATTATAATTTAATAATAACAATCAGTCTAATCTGTAACCAAAAGAAACAGCTGATCATTTAGTCAAATGTGTATATGAAAAATGTATAAATACATTATTGCAGCAATACTTCAAAATATTGTGGTATATAAGTCTAAAATCTGATACTTACAGGCTACTAGTTTGGGCTGATTTGATTTGCACCCTTTCCTGGTGGAAAAATAAAAAGATTTAGGTGAGACTTTTTTTTTTAACATAAGATATTAAAATGTCCACAACTGATTTAAGAAAATTACATTACTCACAAACTTGACCATAATGTGTGAAGTAATATTTACCAGTAAAGCAGTTCTAGGGTCCTCATGAATGAGAATGTCTTCAGCTGAAACTCTGCTCTTGTCCCTCTTCAAAGCTACAGAAATTGAGACATTCTATAATGCTTCTAATCTAACTTTAGACTACAGGTTCTATCAAATTGCACAAAAATATTCATATATTAAAGAAACAGAAGTCTTACTTGAGTCTGGAAGGAGAAAACCAGGGTTTCGACCAAACTCTGTGAAGCCAGCATAAGAGTTAACTGCTCTCATGTGACCATGGCTTTCAGACTGTGGAAATAAGCAAGTAACAACATTGAACAGAAAACTAAACTCATTTTGAAAACACTAAGAAACTTACCTGTGGTCTGGTTTGTGTATCCGGCTTCTGCTGTGTGCTACAACCAGGTTTAGGTGAGGAGTGTTCAAGCTCCAAACTGTCTTTATGTCCTGGAAAAAAAAAAGTTAAAATTAAAACTAAACTAGAAGATGTATTGTATTTCTTTTACCATTTTTAATCCTTGAATATTTTTCACAAATTGTATTTCCCATATATAGAGTGAAAACAAAAGGTCAGGTCAGAATTCCCCAATACAAAAATATCCTTAAAATATACCCTGATCAATATAAAAACCCCACGTGTGAAGATGTTAATGTATGTTTAATGATGCCACCCCACAAACGAAATAGAAGAGCC